TAGACTGGAGGCTAAGAGCAGTCGGCTCTGGAGCAACAGGTTGGGGGGGCGGGGGGGGGGGGCAGAGGCTGGACTCGGCACATCAGGCGGCAGACAGTAGCTGGGAACTGCTGGCTTTGGTTTGGGAACATCAGTCAGGGCTGAGCACATGTAACGTGGACTAGCGTGTGTGGCGGCGCCCGGGGGCCGGCGCCCCGGGGGCCGGCGCCGCTCACCGACAACATTTGTTCTGGCATTAAAATGCAGATGTGAGCGGGTGCTTAGCGCCTACAGCTGAGCCCATTTGCTGGAAAAAGTGAATGAACAACGAAGAATTAAAAGAGCAACCCGCTTTCAGGAGACTTCTGCAGCGTCTGAGCTTTAATGACATATTATTTACTATATAATTAGCATCACAACAGCGCTGTAGAACCACGCTAGACATAATCAAGGTGCTAATGAGTGCTTGAGCTATGACTGATGTCTGGGCCTTTGACATTTTAATTAAGGCCACCATCAGAACAGGACACATTATAACTCATTTTCTTCACCCGAAGCCCAGAGAGGATGATTTGTTCACTGGGTATTTAACACCGTGACACTTACAAGTGTGCCTGGCTGCTGGAACAGGGATGGTGATCAGTGGAAATGGAGGGGGTGCAGAGGTATGAGAAGATGATGCACATCAACAGGTGACTCAGATCAAATCTAAAACGAGTTCGGTCCATTTGGAGACAAACTAGCCCAGCCATCTGTTCAAACAGTGACGTTATGTTAGCTTGTTGTGGCGCCTTCCAGAGGCGACCCCCTCCCTGTTTAATGATGCTGGAGGAGCGCCCGCCTGAACCAGTAACCTGGTGAAAGAGGGTCAACAGCCCTCTCTTCCCCTCGGCCGGTTACCATGGAATCTCCTCAGCGGGGACAACGCCGTCTCCAGGATTACGGAGGCAGTCCGGAGCCCTGCCCTTAAGCACGCTGCGTGGGGACGGTTGCACAACCTGCCTGTATTGTCCTGCCCTAAAAAGCCACTCAGAGGGGAACTGCAGATACAGTTTCACTGAAATATACATAGAGCAGGCTCACCGGCAGCCGCGGTTTAATCCCATTGTGCGAGTCCTGCTGTATTATTTATCATCCCTCAAACCATTTTTTGCTGAAACAAAGCATTTGCTGAAATGTGCAATAAGCTGACTTCTAATGCGAGGTGTTTTCCACTGATTTCTGCGGCTGTCCAAGGCCACAGCAACATTCAAATGCACTAAGCTGTATTTGCATTACCGATAAACGTCACTGAAATAAGTCATTTCAATGACAGACAGCTGAAAGCTGACAGTAGTCATTCATCACATCAAAAGCCAAACATATCAAAGTAGCAAATCCATGCTCACGTGTAAAAAAACAAGAGCTCAGGTGCACGTTGAGGTGTACAGTTTCAGATCTAAACTGTGAGGCGACTCATCTAAAACAAAGTCCTGCGTTTACCTGGTGATCGTCCTCATCTCCCAGCTCAGCCGCTGACAGCTGTTGCTACCAATAACAGACACAAAGGAAACCCAGGCAACTAAGAGAGGGAGGGGGGGGGTCCAAAAGAGCCAAATCAGTTCACCTCTGACACGGCTAATGCAGGGAGAGACTCCAGCTCCAGAGCAAATCACAGCCCATAATTCATTGGCCATGTCTGTCTGGGCTGTGCATGATAATGTGCGCGCTACCTGCCAGAGCCCCCGCTGCACACTGGGGCCTTTCATTCCCACGCCAGCCTTGTTATGGCGGGGGGTTTTACTCCACAAACAGGGCCGTGTGTTACAAAACACACCACTGTTTGCAGAGAGGTGGTCTTCATAATTTGCAGCCTTGGTCTGAACATGCTGGGGACCGGCCCCACCGGCTCAGGGAGGACCATTAAGTGGTTAAACCAGCGGATGAGACAATCGGGGTCTGGTTTTTCTGAGCCGGCCATTCTGGACCTTCACCATGACAGCAGCAGCCAAAGGAATTCAGCCAGTCATCAAAACAAACAGCCTGTTTTGAAGTAAACCGCCCCTTTTGGGATCTAGTGATAGAAGATATACTGAATTCTGTACACTTAGTCTACAGAAGTAATGCCTCTTGGCTCTAGCTCTCTAATAAAGGGGGGGCCATGCCAATCACCACTACTACAAATACTCAGAACTTCAACCTGGTGTCAAACCCTTCTGAGGCCACTTTAAAGGAGCAGAACCAGGCACCATTTCAGAAACATCCTGACTTAATAGTGGTCTTTTTCTGTAACCTTCTCAAACTGTGTCATTAGAAATAAAAGCTCGGATGACAGATATCTGGCAGACGGCTGTGCCCCCTCTCAGTGACAGTTCCCTGAGAGTCCTCCTCTCATCAGTGCGGGTGTTAGAGGCCCTGTGTGCGGCCTCTGTCACTGTTTAACTTACTGTTATGCAACCCATTTTCCCCACTAGCCCCCCCCCGGCTCACGGTGGGGGCCACAAAGCGGCTGGACCCGTCTTTATCCGTCACGCTGACCGTTACTTCCGCCACCTTAAACATGGCGCCTGTCAACTGGAGAAAGACCAACGGCTGTCTTCAACTGTATCTGCACGCGCACACCCCGACTCGGTGGTCATTTGGCAGATGCTCACACTGTTGGACTCGGGGGGGGGGGCTGGGGGGGACTTGGGGAAAGGCCTCGGCTTCCAGGGACGCCGTGTGTCCGTTTCCCCAGACCCGGGGACCGTTAACATCACCGGGCCGGCGGCAGACTCACCTTCCTCCGGGGGCCGTCAGCGAGGGGGGAGCAAAGGCGGGCAGCGTGGGCTCAGGTTTCCATCCCTGCCGGGGAGAGGTGGCCTCACCGCGGGGCCCCCGCCAGGCTCCGGTCTGGCTCCGGTTCGGGCTCGGTTCTGGCTCCGGTTCGGGCTCGGTTCGGGCAGGAACCGCTCCCTGAGCCGCCTCCGCGGGTGTGTGAATTATTGAGAGTTTGTCGGCTCCGCTGTTGCGGGATCGCTTACAAGTTTGCTGTGGCTGTAACCGGAGTCCGCCTCCTCTAGAAAAAAGAGAAAAAGTTTCAAACTTGAGGGGGGACCTGGAATCCGGCAGATTGATGGAAGCGTGGGCCAATGAAGGGAGAGGGGGGGGGAGTGGACCATCCCGGCCGGAGCAAAGAAAAGGCCATTCACAGCCAGCCCCCGGCCCCCCCCCCCCCCCATCCTGCCCCCGCCGGGTCCGGCCCTCATCAGGCCCGGTCCCGGCTCCCAGAGGAAATGCTGCTGTGGAACAATGAACAGGAACTGCCGGGAACAGAGTTTAAGTCATTAACAGAGTCCTGGCAGGTCCATTTATGCCCAGAATCAGCACGCAGACATTTGCAAAAGTCCTTAAAAAATCTGAATATCCACCTAGAATAAACCCAATTTATGCACTGATCCGGTTGTCTCAAAAAGAGGGATGGAAACCAGAGCAGCGGATGTTTTGGGGAGAGGGGAAGCTTTTCCTCATCAGCCTAATGAAGCCGCGGAAATTCCCGGGGTCACATCCGTGTTTCATTGTTTTTGTTAGTGGATATTATTTCTGGCTCTGCCTGCCGTTTTTTCTAAACTTTGCAGCTCAGGTCCTTTTAGGTGTTGGCCGTAAAACAGATTTTTAGTCAGATTTTTGGTGTCTTTTGCTGCAGGTCTGTCAGAAAATAAAGGCCCCTGCGGGGTTGGTCGTGAGCGCCCTCTAGCGTTTTGCAGGAGAACATGAACCTGCACTAAATCCAACAGGCCACAAATGTACTTAAAAATACTCATGGTCGCACACAACGATTATTGTCCTTTAAATGATGGTTTAATATTTGCAAAAGCACCACTCACACCTCTAAAGGAAGTTAAGTGATCACACAGCCTGGTAAAAAAAAGAAAGGAAACATCCATTAGACAATACTGTTGCCAGTCTGAAAAATATTGAGCGAAAAATAGTATTTGACTTTCAAATTAATAGTTTTTTAAATTTTACTGTAGCATTTGCCTCTACTGAAAAAAGCATATTGTTAAACTCTAATGGTGCGATCGCAGATGTTTAAGAAACTCAACCTTCACATCATCACAGGTTAAAGCATCAGGATTTAGCAGATTTCAGGTTTTCACCTGGATCCAACATAAACAATAAGCTCCACGGAACAGGAGGAGTACTTCTTGAACTTGTCTACACAAGTAGGACCGTTTCCTAGCATTGCTGAGGAGTTTTATCTTTGGATATACAAGTTTATGTAATTTATGGAAGATTGTTTTTCATTTTCCATAAACAACTCAAGTGTTTTTAAGCCCATTTTGTGCTCGGTGTGGTGATTTCGACAGCCCATAACGTCCTCTTTTGCCCGGACATGTCCACTTTTTCCATCCTGTCCGGGGCGTCCGGAGGGGGATTATAACTTCATGAAAATGTCCGGTTTGTTATTGTTTTTCATGGGACCATTATCACTTAAATCAACTGGCGCTTTGCACAGAATGCTACGGTACTTGCCCGACCTAATTCTCTTCTTCTAAGTATAGATCCTTTTTATATACCAAGTCTAGATCCTTTTTATTAGTTGAGTTTGTATCATTGTGAGACTGTTTCATTGATTACATTAAGAGGGTATTAAGAGGAATTTTGTTTAAGCTTTTTTTCTAATACAGAAGAGGTCATATTTTAAACATTGATTTTATTTATGTATTTTAAAGGAGGGCTACAATTTTGTTACTGTTTGTTACAGATTGTGTTTTACTACCGAAGTTATTTTATACCATTGAAAAAAGCCTGCTCATGAACATCTGAGAAGCCTGTCTGAATCCGTCTGGAGGCAAAGTATCCTCCTTTTAGGAAATAAAAAAATGGTCACCCTATAATAACGGAGAAAGATATTCTCCTAGGAAGTTTATCGAGGTATGGGGGTGGAAGACATATTAAAAAGGCCGCTGTTTGCTTTTGAACATCATCCCCCACAATCCACTGCGAGACGCAGGAAGGTGACGTATTTTGGCTACGTGTCCGGAACTTGACTAGCCAACATGGCGGCACAGCAGGGTGATGTTGACGAACTGTTCGATGTGAAAAATGCCTATTATATTGGCAGTTATCAACAATGTATTAACGAGGCTCAAAAGGTTAAGGTATGTGACACGTTCTGATTTGTCAAAGTAAAGATATATTACTCTTTTAAATGTATATGGCCATCTAGCCAACAACAGCTAACGTTCCGTTTGACATAGATCTAGTACAGTAATTACTTAAAGCTCAACTAATCTCAAAGACCAGGCTCTTGTAATTGTTTTGTAACCAAACTAGCAACAATATTAAAGTGCAGTTTGCTTTGTCTTTTAAGCCTTCATCCCCTGAGAAGGAGACTGAAAGGGACATGTTTTTGTACAGAGCATACATCGCTCAGGTAACAAGTCCAAAGTTTTACAGGAAATTCTGTTATTTGGGAGAATAACAGCCTTCTTGCAACCTTGACCTGTTATGTTTTTATACTATTGCAGAGGAAATATGCTGTTGTTATGGATGACATCAAGGCTAACTCTCCCCCTGAGCTTCTGGCTGTAAAGATGTTTGCAGAATATCTGTCCACTGAAAGCAAAAGGTAGAAGCCAGCATATTACCTGCTGCAAATGTGCTTTTTCTTACTTGCTCCTACTGACTGGCATACTGTTATTTAAAACTGATAATAGCTGTGAGTGTGAAGATAGGCTCTGCCCTGCAGTAGTGCAAATGGACGGATGGATGGAAGTTTGAACGCACAAGACTGCATCACTGATCATGGCAGCTGAAATAGTTTATTCAGGCCATATGGGCCAATGACAGCTAAATAGTTGACTCATGTTACAGTCTGTCTTTTGGTAAACAAGCAAACCGCCTTTACCACTATCTTGATCTTGAACTGAAGGATTGAACTAGATGTTTTAGTTATGATTACAGTGGAACATCAAGTCAGGACCATGTTTTTTTTTTTCATTCAGTCACATCTGAATGTGCAGTTAATGGAAGACCAGGCTTGTACAGTTATATTGTTTATCAGGTTCTGACCAAAACATAGTGTCAACCAAAACATAGGTCTTACTAGATGGCATTGATCAAGTCTATCTGATGAGAAAGTTGGTAACATTTGAAATCGTGTTGTCTAAGCATTTCTAAACTACGTAGAAATAATTTCACCTTGATTTCAAACAGTTTTCATTAACTTTCTGTGAACGCCATTTATCATCATATATCAGTTTCACTACTCTCACTTGTCTCTTTTGGATAATTTCAATACAGGAGGTATTCTTTATCTCCCACTGACAGCTACAAAACTGTAACAAAATGGCTTTCTCTCCTTGTATTGAATTGTGGTGATTAATTAGCTTCACAATGTCATACATTGCAGCTGGATTAAGCTATGATAAAATATCGACAGATGGGTTTTATTCATTGGCATCTTTTCTTTTTTCTTTTTTTAAGAGATGCAATTGTTGCTGACTTAGACAAAACGATGGCAAAAAGTGTGGATGCTGCCAACACCACTTTCCTCCTCATGGCTGCCTCCATTTACTACCATGAGATGAACACTGATGCAGCTCTCAGAACTTTACACCAAGGAGAGAGCCTGGAGTGGTAAGAGGGAGTTATTTTACTACATTTTACTCTCCAATCAATCAAAGATTAGGCGAAAAGGATGGACTTACTTCAGAATTGTGCCAAGTTTCTAAAAAAAACAAAATGCAAGTAGACAAGTTTATCTTTGGCATTGTTGTAATAATGTATATGTACAGTTAACAGTGTATATCTTTTCATCAACAAGTTGTTCTTATGTTTTTTTAAGCATTAAATTGATCAAACTGTCGCTAACGTTGATTTCCTTCTTTGCCAGTATGGCTATGACCATTCAGGTGCTTCTGAGTCTGGACCGTGTTGACCTGGCGAGGTATGAAGTTTTTACATATCTTCATGAATATATCTGATCTGAATCTGATTGTTTGGTAAGCTGACGTCCATCTGGGGGCAGGCGTTTGAAATGAGAAAGCAGCCGTAGCTCTGTAGCTTGTGTCCGTGCTGTGGCATAAGTGCTGGTTCTGTTTTTATTGACAGGAAAGAGCTGAAGAAGATGCAGGAACAGGATGAGGATGCCACCCTAACTCAGCTGGCCACAGCCTGGGTTAACATAGCCGTGGTGAGGAGACAGAGACACAGTTCTTATGCCAGAAATACATGACTCATAAACACATGCTCTGTCAAGTTAGTGTGCTGAGAGGAATTAGTTGTGCATCAGAAAAATCAATTAAACTCAAACTTGTATTGTGACTGTATCAGCACATGCTGGTTCTTTGTGGGTCAGGTCAGACCACCATAAATCCCATCAAAAAACGCGACCTCAACAAAGAGAAGCAGATTAAACATCGACTGTTTCCTGATGAAATCGATCATATTGCAGCATAGAGCTTCCACATCCTCAGAGGCAGTTTGCTGACAATACTCTGTAGGCAAAAAGCAGCAGCTGTGCGTCTGACACATCCCTGGTGGGTTTGCTGTTCCAGGGAGGAGAGAAGCTGCAGGACGCCTACTACATTTTCCAGGAGATGTGTGACAAGTACTCCTCTACGCTGCTGCTCCTGAACGGGCAGGCGGCCTGCTACATGGCTCAGAACAAGTGGGAGGAGGC